AAAAAAGTTTTATTTAATTAATTAAAAAGTTTTTTTTTCAAATAATTAAAACGATTTTGCCCAAGTCTGTATACATACAAACATACATACAGAAATACATATTAGAATCGACAAAAGTCTTAGCTCCCATTCACTCTTTATTAGCTCTCCCTTGATTTACACAGTTATTTAATTATTTTTAAGTGGTTCTTGATCCAGCTTTATTCGGACAAGCTCTCCTCCACTTAATCAAAGAATCCCACAATCTCTTGCTGCACCATGTAAGTAACCTCTTTCTAATCTATCCCTAGCGGCTCTAAGGATACAATTTCTTATCCATTGAGAACTTAACAAAACTTGTAAAATAAAAATATTTCATCATCAAAAAAAGTAAGCTCTTAGAACAAAAATTATATGTAGAAACGCCTTTATTCTATAGACAATTAGAGAGGCTATTCTACACATGACTTCTTTTGTGGTTTTTTTTAATAAAGAAAATTTTTTTCTAGTACTTAAATGATCAACTTATAGTTCTAGTTTCTTTTAAGTTTGTGGCTAAAATTTGTTTGATAATAGACGGTTCGAATAATATCATTTAATATTCAATTTTGTAGATATTTTATAGAACAAATCTTTGTTAGTTGAACTTGACTCATGTTGACACTAGCTGCATCATGTTATTTATAAGGTGAATCATCCAAAAGATAAAGAGTAGTAAAATAAAAAAATACTTAAATTTATTAAACATAGAAAAAAAGGTAATAACTACTTAATTTTACAAGTGTATTTCTACAATATACCAAAAGTACATAATTAAATTTTTTTTAAACAACGATCTATTTATTTTAATATATTGTTTACTAGAAAGAAATGCAAAAAATCTGACATATTTATTTTCAAGATCTATTCACTTTCTAATGTAAATACTATTTTATGATTAATGGAGATGCACATTCACAAAAAGGCACATGAAAAACATTATGTAATAAATTTATTTACTGACATAAATATCAGAGTGATAAAAAATAAGCAGAAAATAAGTATTTATGTTAGGGGTTACATTATTTGTCAATGATAACTAAAAAATCTGACATATTTATTTTCAAGATCTATTCACTTTCTAATGTAAATACTATTTTATGATTAATGGAGATGCACATTCACAAAAAGGCACATGAAAAACATTATGTAATAAATTTATTTACTGACATAAATATCAGAGTGATAAAAAATAAGCAGAAAATAAGTATTTATGTTAGGGGTTACATTATTTGTCAATGATAACTAAAAAGCAAAACACATTTCCATTGATACCTTGCATCCCATAAGAATAATAGTAACTGTATTTTTAAACGTAGAAAATCTTTTTAAAGGGATGATTTAAAAACTATCATCATTTTCACCAGTGAGTCTAGTTATGATATTCTCAAACAGAATGTCGATTGCTATAGTCGCTCACTGACATTGCTTTAAAAACATGGCTTTTAGTTATGTAGCTGGGTATCTCAGCAACCAATGACACTCTGACAGTTATGAATTTACCATATTTGACACCCCAGTTTGTGAAAACGACCGAGTTCCATGACAACAAAGGCATTGTAATTGCTAACGCCCCTGATGTAGGGGACACCTGACTGGAGCATAACCAGCTTCATTGGTTAAGAGCGTCTTGATCGTTCTTCCAACCCAACTAGTGATGTCAAAGCACCTCTAGCCACAACAACAAACTAAAGAGAACAACCTTAAAGAGTTCGGGTAGTTACATTTGCTGGAAATATTATCAGCCTCCAACTAAAAGTGTCACTACTGGGCCCTTTTAAAGGCTATTATAAATTTTTACGTTTGCTAAACCACCGTTAAAAAGAACCATCCTAGGTTAAATTGTCTTACCAACAAACGATTTAAAAAAACTATTTCTGATAAATATTACAAAGCAACTTTCGATAACGATTTTTCCTCTTATAACTGTGTTCCGACTTTTCCTCTTATAAAGCCGGCCACTTTTAAACTAAGTCAGTCATACACTGGCACACATTACAAGCGGAGTTGCTTATCGCGAGGCTAGGTACCTCGGCCACTGACAACCCTGCGTTACCCTTTTAACTGTAAATATTTAACCAGGAATTACCGATCTTCTCTAAGGTCTACAATTGGCAAACTTAAGAGTGAAACTATAAAAGAGAAACAAACTTGATGAAAATCCATTTTCCATCTTGGTTCAAAAAAAAAAATTAAGCTCTGCGAAAAAAAGGTTCTTTAGACACCAACGTATCCGGCGTAACACCAGGATACATTTGAAAAGGGCAATACAACTATATCTCTAACGTTTTAAAGTGTTGAGGTTTTCCTCCCAACCAGTCTAAAGCTACAATTGCATGCTCTGCAGGCCAGAGAAGACCACCCTGAGGTATCCAGGCAGTCACGTTTGTTGAAAACTTCACTTGAGAAAGAGTTTAGTTCACCGGTTTTTTGTAGGGCCATCTAACTTTACACTACTTTGCCAATAAATGTATTTACAGCTTAACGAAGTTGGCAAAAAAACAGCCCACAGGGCTCACAAAATTTTTTCACAATGCAATGTATTTTTTTTTTTTTACTTTTTTACAACTTATTGTGCGACCAAATCTGCATGAATTCCAAAACTTTTTTTATTTGGAATTTTTTTTATTTCAAGAAGCGTCAATAATAGATGCAAAATTTTTAAATAAAAATATTTTTCTTTACGTGTTAACACACTAAGGTATTTCACTCAGTAAGACTGGAACGAAGCCAAGACAGATTGAATAGTATTTTATATAATCATGACTTCATTATTACAAATGGTGCTAGAATCGGCGCATCGAGCGCACAGTAAGCAAAGACTACACTAGTATATAAAATAGACTCATGAAACATTAAATTATTGAAATTATGTATTGTACCTTTTCTAATGTCTGTTCATAAGCGCCTATACTCACAATCAAGCTTATAGCAAACGGATAAAGTAAATTAGCTTGATACGCTTTATTGACGATTGCGATAGGAACTCGGAACCCAAGATTCTTTAAATTTCTTACTTCTTTGGATAATGTTATGATTTCTGGTAAAAAGTTTACTTTCATTTTTAATATGTTGCCACGACCAGAACGTGATCTAAGATTTTCAATTGCGAATATTCTGCCAGTAACACCAATATTACGTTGCTGTACTTTTCGTGCCCAATCATCAAAAATTTCTTGAGTAGATAACTTCATTCGAAAACTATCTCCATCAGCTTTTAATTTCTGGCCTTCAATGTGATTTTCCCATCCTTTACCTGTAACAAAATAAATATTGTTAAAAAACATTTCTTCACGTAACTAGCCAAGTGTAAACTAAATGTAGTTGATAAGCTACCTTACGTGGCAGCTAAAAAAAGTATATAATCACCGTATGAATGAATTAGTTACGTGGCAAAAAGCTATGCACGGCAGTTTCTTACTGCCTAACCATTTACTTTCTACTAATTAAAATATTAGTAAAATAATCTCTCCGAAAAACGTGATTAATAAGTATGCAAAAAAAAAATTTGTAGGTTAAACTACTGGTACACAGTAAAAAAGCTTCACTAGCGAATTGTAAAAATTTACTAAATGAAATAATGTAAAAGTGCAATTTTTTTTGCAAAATTACAAAAATTTTCGTAGTTGTACAAAATTTTTGTAATTTCACTAGATTTTATGTTGGACAGAACTGCGACCCATGTTAAATGTAGTAAATATACAAGTCAGATTGTAGTCCATTTTACAACTTCCTTAGTAATTTTAATACTGCGTAATAGTAAGTTTGCAATCTTTTTGTAAAATAAGCTAACGGTACGTAAATGGATTTACGAATAAGATACACTATACAGTCTATACATAATACATATATCCAGGCACGAAGCACAGAGGCTGCGCATTGTGAATGTGAATATTGCGAACACAAAGTAAGTATAAAACAACTTTTACAAGATTTAACAAAACACCACGAAGTGCTATCGCAGGCTTGCAGCTGCTCTCAGTTTTCAGTTTATTAGTGATATTCGTCGATATCGCAATGTAAGTTTCGTTCTTTCAGTTATTGTTTGCAAACTAGCGAATTACAGTTTCAAAAGTAAGGTTACAATAATTGAAGTTAATGTACAGATTGTAATAACGAATAATTCTATTGTNGGTTACCACGACAGCCTACTGGCCTAGTCGCCAGGGCCACTCACTCAATACTTGTGTGTGGGGGTGTATTGCAGCACCTATTTCCAACCCTTTAACTGATTTTATACTTGATCCATGGGCACAGTATGAATATCTCCGGTAAAACATCTTGCCAGATAAGCTGACACTCTCCGCACCAATGGTGCATCGGGTCCACTCACCACTGTGTAGCCTTTCCCCGGAGAGGACTCCATACTTCAGGACGTCCACTTCTCGTCGGTTGAGCCAGCGCTCTCTGCCGAAGCATCGGATCCAGGCTAATTAGCATCCCCGAAGAAGCTCTATGTTTCAGGGACTACTTCTCGCCGGTAAGGCCAGCGATCCCTGCCTGGCGCATCGGATCCACTAATTCCTACCTATAGCCCTAACACTGTTCGCATTTACCCAGGCTCGAGGACCTGTGGGGCAAGGAAAAAACCCTGAAATTACTCTAACGGAAAATTCCACGAAAAAACCCGTCCCAAAACAGCAGGGGTTACAAAGAAACTTTTTCCGATGAAAACAGTTTTTGAAAAAATCTGCGTAAATCTCCGCAAAAAAATGATTAATAATATAATATAGAATACTGGATATTTTGTGCAATAAGCCTGATCTGCTGACAGATTGTAAAAACAAATTGACTTCATACAATTAGGTTAAATTACTTATATACCCTGGCAACTAATACACAACACTAGCTCTAAATACTTAGTGGAGCGTAAGAAAAAGATAGAAAAAAGAATAGGACTTTCATGTTTCACCCTAAACTATCTAAAAGACTCGTCAGTATAACTATGCTTGCAATCTTAGTTACAGACACTAGTAACACAGAATAAACTAATGCTTGCGCATTTATTTGCTGCATGCAAGTATGTAGAAAAATCACAAGCAATACTAACGTAAAATAAGAACTGTATTAAGAAATGAAATGGGTAAGTCTTTTATCTCGGATAAGATCATTGTCATAGCTACACTGAGAAGTCCTGCCAACGATGAAGTATAAAATGTTCGAATCCTATACTTTTTGTCACCTTTTTCTCATGCTCTACTAAGTACTTTACGTACATAGAATTTGAACTCACTAGGGTATGTGAGCTATTTCAACTGATTATGGACAATTAGTTTACTTAATTGCTCTAAGCATACTATGTGCTTGAGGGGGCGGTAGTACGTGGTATAGTACGCGTTAAAAGTTTAGTGCGCAAAAATCTAAGCTAACTGTTAACCTCACTTGATCTGTAATGATGAACTTTTATTAGTGGCTGTATTCGCGCACGCGCAGTTTGGGCCCAGTCATCTATTTGCTTCGTTTTCGTCAAATTCTTGTCACAATGTGCAACTTTACACTACAAAATCTCATAACCTATGAAGCTAGGATTTCTGAAATTTGGGACAGTCAATCTTAATGTAGTCAGCTTCGACGTATTAATGTTTTACAAAAATTAATTAAAAATTAAACGAATTAAATGAGAAAACCTATTTTTTGCAATAAGCTCACAACGACGTTTCCATCAGAGACCGTGTGAAACAAAAAAAATTTGTCGTTTTTTGTCTCAAAAACGAAGCTAGTTCCTCAAAAATTTTTATATGATATGTAGTGATGAAATTAGTGTCTCATAAATTTTTAAAGAAACTTTATAGAAAATATAATATCACGATAACCTCGTTAATAGACAAAATCAATAGTATTTAAAATATTAAGTACTTTCAAGTGTCATTAGCTTTCAATACTATGAGCTTACTACGTAAAAACATTTTACGTAAAATTTTAAAAAACCTTCTTCTTTCATGATTTGCAAATAAGTAAGAAAAAAAAGGATTTAGAAACATTGCCTACAACTTGGTAAAAAATTGACTTATACATAAGATCTAGATGGCTTTTTTTGTAAGGATCTTTTTAAAATTTAGCAGTACACAGACTGCTGGCAAATCTTCAAAAATACCAAAGTGCCTGAGAATATCAAGCGGTTTTTTAAGATTGTAAACAATATTTGTACGTTTACTAGTAGGGCTCTCCCCATTGCGCAGCTTGTGCAACAACTCCTTGTAAATAAGTTATTCCTTTCAACACAACTCAAAATAATTAAAACTTGAAATATGACTACAAACAAAAATCGTTATAAAAATTTTTTCATAAATGCCACGCTATTATGTGACAACAATGGCTATTCTCAGCTTTGCTAAGACTCTTAATTTATTAGAAAAAGTGACTAGAATAGGTGTTGTAATAAATACAATTTGAGAGATAAAAGTCGGATTAAAGTAAATTATGAAGTCACGAACACAAGCAATCGATAGTGCATTGCATACATCCAACAACAAATTATTAAAGGTTTGGTGAATTACAAACGCACATAGTATTCAGAGAATTATTACAAAGAAAATCAAGAAAACAAAGTAGGTATCGTCATAAAAATAATCCATTTAAGCCTTTTGAGTAAATGAGATTCTTGGACAGTAAATATTTTGTATTATGCTGGCAAAGAGGTTAGTTCGTTTGTACGAAAAAGTCGTCAAAAGCTCTTATTCGGGACCATCCCCACCATACAGGTTATCTAGGTACCCACCTAAAATATTATAATTTGTAAGGAAATATAACGGAATTGCGATATCAGTTAATCAATCAGCTCTTGCTAATACGCTTGACATGAGAAGTCAATTCACTCGCTTTTCCTAAGGTTGTAGCAGAGTAGTTTTACAACCAGGATACATTCTTTGGCAAAAATAATGGCTAACGCATAATCACGCTGCTGAGCCAGACATACCAATAATAGAAAAAATTAAAGAAGAAATACGCGAAGCTGTACAGAACCCAAGAGCTGGTAGTGTGAAGACGGCATTTGATTATATCACAACTGTGTAAGTAATGACTTATTATTTAAGCAATTTGCAGTACGTTGCTGTAGGGAGCTGCATCCGTTGGTGGCTACCTCGTGCCATGACCCTTTTTTTTCCAGGTTACCACGACAGCCTACTGGCCTAGTCGCCAGGGCCACTCACTCAATACTTGTGTGTGGGGGTGTATTGCAGCACCTATTTCCAACCCTTTAACTGATTTTATACTTGATCCATGGGCACAGTATGAATATCTCCGGTAAAACATCTTGCCAGATAAGCTGACACTCTCCGCACCAATGGTGCATCGGGTCCACTCACCACTGTGTAGCCTTTCCCCGGAGAGGACTCCATACTTCAGGACGTCCACTTCTCGTCGGTTGAGCCAGCGCTCTCTGCCGAAGCATCGGATCCAGGCTAATTAGCATCCCCGAAGAAGCTCTATGTTTCAGGGACTACTTCTCGCCGGTAAGGCCAGCGATCCCTGCCTGGCGCATCGGATCCACTAATTCCTACCTATAGCCCTAACACTGTTCGCATTTACCCAGGCTCGAGGACCTGTGGGGCAAGGAAAAAACCCTGAAATTACTCTAACGGAAAATTCCACGAAAAAACCCGTCCCAAAACAGCAGGGGTTACAAAGAAACTTTTTCCGATGAAAACAGTTTTTGAAAAAATCTGCATTCACCGGGAATCAAACCCACAACCCCTAGAACAGCGTTGTATCAGTAACAAGCACGCTTACCACTGAGCCAACGACGCACTGTGTTATGACTGATTAGTATTTTATAAAACTTCTATGGTATACGTTGTGTCAAATTTGTATATTTATTTCCCTGTTATTAATTAAAAAAAAAAAAAATTCACCACCGTAGTGATAAAGGCTGATGCCGTCAAATTACATGATCACCCTTACAAATTGTCGTAATTGCGCTCTGGGCTCGATATACAACTTGCGATAAGAAAAATTATACATAGCATGACAAGTTAGAGTTGCAACACATTGTTTTCATATTAAAGTTCGAAAGGTACGGATACCAGCATTTCTCTCAAAAACTATAATTTAAACAGATTGTAAAAAAAATTTGTCAAAATAATAACTTAGTTCTTAAAGTATTTCTTGTACTGCTGAACTACTGTACTAGAAAGTTCATGTTCAGACGCTGATGCGGCACACTGTAATACTGAACATAAATAGTCATATACAGATAGATAGGCAAGCTGTCGATGGTGTAATCAGATAAATTTATTTTTTTACGCAATTCATTTGCTTCGCGTTTTCAATAATGTGCTAAATTTTATATAAGGCGAAGATACTGAGCTATGTAGAGCAATCAATAAGTACTTTAACAGCAGGATACAGCGTACTGAGCGAATTATCCCAAATTTGACGTTATTTTTTGCATAATTTTTAATGCAGCAGTTTATAAACTACAAGCATTACAATTGAGGGGATGTTTACCCTCTTTCGAACTCTTATCATCATGACGCTGGCAATTATGAGCAGCAGCGTTGCCACGCAGTGGAGAAGCCCAGCTGATAAGCAGACTGACTACTAATTACTCTTCCAGTGGTAGATGTCGCGCACGCATGTTTTTATCATACAGCAGTGCGTCTGCCAGAACTGCCATAAGGATGCAGCCCCACAACACGCAATAGAGCGTGCAAGATAAAATCATCTCCATAATTTTAGGTATTTAGTCTATCCTGCTGCTACATGGACCACCATTAGAACG